GAATGTCAGTATTTGGGCTAGTCCGACTCACCAGGTCCTATCGATTCCTCTCCCATGAACGTGCCGAGAGTGCCCGGGTGGTGCTCTTCCGCTGGCGTGATGCCGAATGCTACTGCGACGTCTTGGACGGATTGGATGTAGTTTTCGGCTCGAATGAGGATGGGGAGGGTGTCTCCGGGGACGACGGTGGCTGGGGCGTAGAAGCCTGTGATGCGGGCTGTTGCGGGCGGGATTGAGAGGAGAGAAGTTATGGCTGTGACGAGGAGGGTTGAGAGGCGCATGTTTGGTGGGTTCTTCGTTTTTGGTCGTTTGGGTTGAGTGCTGGTGTGTCGTTGTGAGGAGTCTGCTGGGGTGCGTCGGTACTTTCTGAAGATTTATTACAGTATCGAGCTGTGGAATTTGGATATGGAAAGATGGCCAGCGGCATCTTGATCTCTTTTATTTACAATTCTTGGTTCATTCGATCTGCTCGAGTGATGTAACCACACGTAGCCGATCTATTAACTGATGGGCTTATACGGCGACAGCGCATGCGGCATGATGGTAGCTGTGCACCCTTGTTCTTCCACTTCTTCGGTACTCCCAGACTGGTTGTGATGATCAAGATGATCACGTCCGCGGAGGGTTTACTGCATGGAGGATGCAGGGTTCGGACTTCCACCTTGGATGGCCTGAGACCATTTTCGTCATACCATGCGCTCTGATGTCTCACAGTGCCGTTCCCAGGGTCTCCGATGCCGAACATGATGTTGCCTCACTGCTCGCGATCGCGAGACCCTCCATGACGCTGTGCAATGAGATGAACCCTTCTGGTGATAGTAACGGAATCTTCAAGTGGCTGTCAATCCCAGCTTCCTGCCATATCAGTACGCTACATTCGAGCGTTCGTCAAAGTTCCTTCACTTGAGGTGCATCCTATCGAAACTTGTTGCCTTATCTTGTAACCCAAGTAAACTGTCATAATCCTATGATGGAGGTTTAATCACGATTCCAATCAGCCCTTCCCGTTCCCTTCACCCGTGCCAGCGTCTCTTGAATACTCCTCGGGCACCGAAAACATTGGCACCTTCCTTACTGATGAAGTGGCGAGATGTGATGGCAATTCGCAAGGCTCTTTTACATCTTGCTGATTCAGGTGAAAGTCGCGGCTCTCCTTGTGAGGTACATCAGGCGGTGGAATGTCTGGAAGTCCAGCGAGAGGTGGGTTTGGGTGCGGTAGGGTTGTGTTCGATGCGTCGTAGCCTCCCTTTGATTTTGGCGTCTCTGCAGAATGTGATCCAAGTCCGTTTGAGTGAGCGGGCAACTCCGATGCAACAGCAGCCTGACCATGATCGGCCGAGTTGCTAGCAGCCTGCGAAGGTGAAGCCATTTGAGGCAGGCCACCGCCTTGCTCGCTTTCTGGAGCATGTGAATCGCCTCCTTCCTTCTTGTCGGCATCAGGAGCTGCTGCAGCGGTGGCTTTCTTTCGCTTGGCATCGGCAATCAGACGAGCAAAATCGACCTTGTTCTTGTTCGCCCATCCGTCGCCATCAAAGTCCTTCCGCATGATTCCATATCCTTGATTGGTGACCGGCGCTCTTCCTCCCTGTGTCCTCTCCCATGTGTCCAGGTCCTGTAGTAGCTCCCTCTTAGTCCGCGGACTGCTGGAATCGCAATTCGCATTCCATAAGTTGACCCATTCGGTAT